AATGAAGAATCAAGAGATAAGTCCTTTTCTTCATTCCCCATCAGCTAACTTACATCCCTAACTAAGGCTCCTTCAAAAATGGAAATTCCTGAGCTGCTACTGGTAATCTCAGACTCATATTTATTGCTTTCCAAATGAGCTTTCTGAGTCCAGCTTTCAGTGCTGCAGTTTCAGATTATCAGGAAGAAACCTGATTTATCCAGCTTGGGTCAAATGTCCACCCCATTGGGCTACAATTACATGGTCTAGACATGGTCATCCAGCTCTACCCCTTCAGCAGAGGGCAGTCGAAACCATTTCCAGAGGAGAGGGCATGGGCAGGTAGGGACAACAATTTCAGAGCCTTGTCAGCTACAGAGGGAAAAGTTCAGTGTCCTTATAGTCCTTATAGTCCTGACTCTGGCTTGATCCATTTATGGGCAGATCTCAGATATGGCGTCTCATCAAAGATGTCTACTCTTTAAGAAGACTTCAGGATATGTTCTGTAAACCTGGATCTTTTAGGACTGAGTCAGGAGTAACTTAGAACTGACTCAGCATGAGGTCAGCATCAAGTATTTAGGAAGAACTGTCATTTATTGAGCTGAAGTATCTGTCGTATTTTGTAAAGGACAAATGAAGGCTTATTAGCTGAGCTAAGGATTTAAGAAAACTGGTATTACCTGCTGGGTATTCAGGCCAAGATTGTATGCTTTTAGAGTTCTTTGATTCTCCAATCTCTCTACCTGACTATTAGTCTTTGATCTTCCTTTATAGGTTGTGATTCCATTCACAATAAGACTCTTTTTGACCTCTTTTTCCTACATTGTGATTTCCTCCAGAGTAAGGCTTCTTTTTAATCTTCTTACCTAGCATTATTGGTGCTCACCAATATTAAGTGCATTGAGGACTAAAGAGATGAAACTTATGTATTTATGTGGCTGTCAGAAGTTTTAGTAATATATTTATTGGAGAAAAATTGAAACCATTAGGTAAAATGATAGTCTATTTCTGTTATTCAGAGCACTCTAGGCCACCACGACTATAGATTATTGTGAGTTGTCTATGCCTGCTCTATCCCTATGCTGATTTGGGACCTGCTTTGATGAACAGTGAGGAACCAGTAGTGGTAATAGATTAAGAACTGGTCTGTGTTCAGTTATCTTTCTTTCTTTCTTTTTTTTTTTTTAACCCATATATATAAAAATTTAAATTTTAAGTAAAATTTAAATAAAAGTATTAAATTTGGGATGAACTACATCAAGACTGTAATAAAAAAGTAGTGTTTCCTCTGCCCTGATGATACTAAGTTAATTTAGTGATTCTATCTTTATTAAATGTTATAGAGCAGATCACAGTCTGACTTTGGGCAATTTACTGAACTTCTAAACCTGTTTTTGTATCACTAATATGGGTCAATAACCACCACATTTAGCATCTTGCATTGTGCTAAACATTTGTGTTCAATAAATGGCAGCTACAATTCTTATAATGACTAATAAGACACATTATCTTTTTTTAATATATTTTATTGATTACAGAGAGGAAGGGGGGAGAGAGAGAGACAGAGGGAGAGAGAGAGAGAGAGAGAGAGAGAGAGAGAGAGAGAGAGAGAGAAACATCAATGTTGACAGAGAATCATTGATGGGCTGCCTCCTGCATGCTCCACACTGGGGATCAAGCCTGCAACCTGGGCATGTGCCCTTGACCAGAATCGAACCTGGGACCCTTCAGTACACAGGCCAATGATCTATCCACTAAGCCAAACCGGCCAGGGCAATAAACTATTTTTTAGAGCAGTTTTAGGTTTACAGGAAATGAGCAGAAAGTAGAGAGTTCCTATATATCCCCACACTCCTCCCCTCTACCCCTTTCTCTGTTATTAACATCTTGTATTAATGTAGTATATTTGTTAAAGTAGCTGAGCCAATAACTTATTAATAATTAAAGTACATAGCTTACTAGTTTACATTATGGTTCATTCTTTCATATATATATATATTTTTTTTTTAGAGGCCCGGTGCACATAAATTGTGCATAGGGGGTGGGGGAGGGTCCCCTCAGCCTGGCCTGCACCCTCTCGCAGTCCGGGACCCCTCGCTTCTTACCGCCCGCCCGCCTGCAGCGGAGGCAGGAGAGGCTCCCACCACCGCTATGCTCGCCAGCCATGAGCCCAGCTTCTGGCTGAGTGGCGCTCCCCCTGTGGGAGCACACTGACCACCAGGGGGCAGCTCCTGTGTTGAGCGTCTGCCCTCTGGTGGTCAGTGCGTGTCATAGCGACCAGTCCTTCTGCTGGCTGTTCTGCCGTTCGGTCGATTTGCATATTAGGGTTTTTTTTTCATATTAGGGTTTTATTATATAGGATATTTATTTCAGAGAGGAAGGGAGAAAGAGAAAGATTAATGATAAGAGAGAATAATTGATTGGCTGCCTCCTGCATGCCCCCCTACTGGGGATCAAGCCCACAACCCGGGCATGTGCCTGACCGGGAATCGAACCGTGACCTCCTGGTTCATAGATTGACGCTCAACCACTGAACCACGCCAGCTGGGCTGTGGTTCATTCTTTGTGTTGTACATTTTATGGGTTTTGGCAAATATATGATGACATGTATCCATCATCACAGTATCATACAGAATAGTGTCACTGTCTTAAATATCCCCTGTGCTCCACATATTCATTCCTTCTTCAGTCCCTGGCAACCACTCATTGTGTTAATTTTTGCCTTTTCCAGAATGTCACATAGTTGGAATTATATAGTATGTGGCCTTTATAGCTTTACAAATTGGCCTTTAAAATTTTCATTTATTGCCCTAGCTGGTGTTTCTCAGTGGTTAGAGCACCTGTCTGTCAACTGAAGGGTCCTGGGTTCGATTCTGGTCAAGGGCACATGCCTGGGTTGTGGGCCCGATCCCCAGTAGGGGACATGCAGGAGGCAGCCGATCAATGATTCTCTCTCATCATTGATGTTTCTATCTCTCTCCCCCTCTCCCTTCCTCCCTGAAATCAATAAAAATTTTATTTATTGATTTGAGAGAGAGAAAGAGAGAAACACCAATTTGTTGTTCCACTTATTTATGCATATTTTGGTAGATTATTTTATGTGCCTTCTACTGGGGATTGAACCTGTAACCCTGGTGTATTGGGACAATAGTCCAACCAACTGAGCTACCTGGCCAGGGCCACATTGGCTTTTTTAAAACACTTAGCAATATGCATTTAAGCTTCCTCCATGTTTTTTATGTGACTTGATAGCTCATTTTTTTTATTGCCAAGTAGTATTACATCATATGGATGTTCCTCCCTTTGTTTATCCATTAGCCTATTTTAGGGCATCTTGGTTGCTTCTAAATTTTAACAATTATGAATAAAGCTGCTCTAAACATTGTGTTCAGGTTTTTGTGTGGAAGTAAGTTTTCAGCTTATTTGGGTAGATACCAAGGAGCACAATTGTTGGATCATATGGTAAGAGTATGTTCAGTTTTTATCCATTTTTTTAAAAAATATATTTTATTGATTTTTTACAGAGAGGAAGGGAGAGAGATAGAGAGTTAGAAACATCGATCAGCTGCCTCCTGCACATCTCCCACTGGGGATGTGCCTGCAACCCAGGTACATGCCCTTGACCGGAATCGAACCTGGGACCTTTCAGTCCGCAGGCCGAGGCTCTATCCACTGAGCCAAACCGGTTTCGGCATGTTCAGTTTTTAAATAAACGACCAAACTGTCTTTCAAAGTGGCTGTACCAGTTTGCATTCCCACCAGCAATGAATGAGAGTTGTTCCTGCTCTCTCATTGTTGCAAAATAGGTTATTTTGAGTTATTTATGCCCCATCCTCTGCCTCTATGCTGATATGGGACCTTGTTATGCAAAGAGGGATCTGAAATTAGTATAGTAGGTTGTGGTTGGCCTGTGTTTAGTTATTCTATACTTAGAATTGACAGCTACCATTTCCCATTTAAAATACCTCTCATTTTCTTGTACATCTCATCTGGAAATAAATCTTGCTTTTGTTAGACTTTTGAATAATAACAGATTGCTCTTTTCCCCTAGCACAATTTTATAATGGGTCCCCGTATTCCTTAAGATTAGGAATGGATACATAGCTTATGGAACCTAGACGTTAGTTGTTCTTCAAAATCATTGCTAGTTTCAGTTTCAACCAATATTTGAAAGTGCTTTCTTCCTGCATCCTTGCCCACTCTTGATATTATTGGACTTTATCTCTTCCATTTCCCCCCACCTCCCATAGGTAAAACTTTATCTTATTTTCTAATTCAGAGAATTATACTTTGTGGTAAAGTAAGTATAACTCATTAAACATTTTATTCAAGGAACATTGTCTATTTGGTAAAATTTAAAGCTTGGATATTAGAAAGGGTTATTTTTTTTTTTTAAATTTAATTTTTGGGTGACTAAATCTGTTTATCATAGGTAAAAATATTAACGTCATCTATCATATAAATATGTTTGAATCTTCATTAAGGACTAATATAATTGATTATAGTGCTTTTGGATGAGAGATGGCTGTAGGGATATAAAGTGGTATTTTGGACCATCCTAGTCATTTAGAGTGAAAATGAGCTCTATGATGTTTGTTTTTATTGGTTTTAGAGAGAGAGGAAGGGAAAGGGAGAGAGAGAAATATCAGTTGGCTCCCTCCTACTTGCCTCCCCACTGGGGATTAAGCCTGAAACCTTGGCATGTGTCCTGACTGGGAATTGAATGGTGACCTCTCGGTGCAGGGGATGAGGCTTAACCAACTGAACCATACCTGCCAGGGCCATTGGTTGATTCTTGTACGTGCCTTGACTGGGAATCGATCCCACAACCTTGGCATATGGGGATGCAGCTCTAACCAACTGAGCTATCTGGCCAGAGCTCCATGATATGTGTGTATGTTTTTCCACGATGTTTTTAATACGGAATTATTATACTTTCTGAAACATTTGATACCAGCCTATGCATTTTTCATATTTGTTGTTGAAGGAATAAACTATCATAATTTCTGTTTTTATAGATTATCTTGATAATGGTAATAATAAAATGGCAATTCAACAAGCAGATAAATTATTGAAGAAACATAAGGATCTTCATTGTGCTAAGGTAAGTTCATTTGCCCTTGAACTTACATTTGTTGTGTTATATATTGTAATTTTGACTTTAAGTGAGAAAGATGTTTAATCTCTTTAGTAATTTTCAGAATATTTTCTTGATCACTTAAATGCCATGAGTAGTATTGAGTTAAAAGCTAGCTATTTAATTCTTTGAACATAACTTATCTAATTATTTTATTTTCACAGTCTTTTAAGCGATGTTTTGCGTTCTCTCTCTCTCTCTCTCTCTCTCTCTCTCGCCCTCGCCCTCTCCCTCTCTCCTCCATTGATTTTTTTCCATTGAGTTTTTAGAGAGAGGGAAAATAGAGAGAAGTATCAATGTGAGAGAGACACATTGATTGGTTGCCTCCTACACCCGCCCCAACCAGGGCCGGGTCCCAGGAGGAGCCTGCAACCAAGGTATGTGCCCTTGACCAGAATCGAATCCGGGACCCTTCTGTCCGCAGGCGGACGCTCTATCCACTGAGCCAAACTGACTAGGGCTCTCTTTCTCTTCTTTAATCTTCTTCCGAGGACATGCTTATTGCTTTTTGAGAGAGAGAGAAAGAGAAACATTGATTCGTTGTTCCACCTATTCATGCATTCATTAGTTGCCTCTGGTATGTTCACCTACTAGGGATTAACCCAAAACCTTGGCCTATCGGAATGATGGTCTATCCAACTGGGCCACCTGGCCAGGGCAGGGCTTGCATTCTTAACATGGCTGAAATAGGAAAGAATCTTTTTTTCTTAAAAATATTTTATTGATTTTTTACAGAGAGGAAGGGAGAGGGATAGACAGTTAGAAACATCGATGAGAGAGAAATATCAATCAGCTGCCTCCTGCACACCTCCTACTGGGGATGTGCCCGCAACCAAGGTACATGCCCCTGACCGGAATCGAACCTGGGACCCTTCAGTCCGCAGGCCGACGCTCCATCCACTGAGCCAAACCGGCTAGGGCTAGGAAAGAATCTTGATCTGTTCATTTTTTAGTAAAATGGTTTAGTTGATTAACAATCTAGATATACCTTACATCTTGTGCTTTCAAATTGGCTTTCTATGGTTCCTTTTCATTCCTTTTCAAACTGATTCGTCTTTTCTTTCTGTCAGGTGTTAAAGGCCATTGGATTACAGAGAACTGGGAAGCAAGAGGAAGCCTTTACCTTGGCACAGGAGGTGGCAGCCCTTGAACCCACAGATGATAACTCGCTGCAGGCACTGACTATTCTTTACCGGGAGATGCATCGTCGTAAGTTTCTTTCTTTTCCTTGGTGTTAAACCTGAGCTTAAGTTTTTGGTTATTTCTGATTGAGTTCTCTATTTGTCTGATTTGCTTATCACTCATGATTTGAGTGGATGGCAAAGGTAAAATAATGCATTAACCATGATTTCTGAAGACTGTAGACAGAAATTTTTTCCAGTGTATTAGGATCCTTGAATTGAAATGATCACTTGAGTTTCATTTGTGGCATTATGATTTGCTAAGTGGGAGAGTTACCCTTTTATCACCTTTTTTTTAAAAATAAAAAATTTTAATATCTTTTTATTGATTTCAGAGAGGAAGGAAGAGGGAGAGAGAGATAGAAACATTAATGATAGAGAGAATCATTGATCAGCTGCCTCCTGCCCACCCCACACTGGGGATTGAGTCTGCATCCTGGGCATGTGCCCTGACCCTGACCAGGAATCGAACCATGACCTCCTGGTTCATAGGTTGACACCCATCCACTGAGTCACGTTGGCTGGGGTCACTTTTTTTTTTTAATATATATTTTTTATTGTTTGTTTGTTTGTTTTTTTGAAAGGAAGGGAGAGAAACATTCATCTGAGAGTGTAACATCCATTGGCTGCCCCCTTCATGCTCCCTGCTGGGGATCAAGCCTGAAATCTGGGCATGCTCCCTGACCAGGAATCTAACTGGCAATCCCATCCCCCATGCACAGGACGATGCCCAACCAACTGAGCCACACTGCCTAGGCCAGCAGTGGGCAAACTACGGCCCGCGGGCCGGATTCGGCCCGTTTGAAATGAATAAAACTAAAAAAAAAAAGACCGTACCCTTTTATGTAATGATGTTTACTTTGAATTTATATTAGTTCACACAAACACTCCATCCATGCTTTTGTTCCGGCCCTCCGGTCCAGTTTAAGAACCCATTGTGGCCCTCGAGTCAAAAAGTTTGCCCACCCCTGGCCTAGGCCACTTTTTTCACTTTCTAATATATAAAAATTCAAATATAGACAAAAACAGAGAGTGGCATAATAAATCCCATTGTATTAATTACCCATCTTTAGTAATAATTGGTACATGATCAATTTTATCTACACTCCTCCCCTTGCTAAATTATTTCTAAGCATATTCTAGATGATCTGCCATTTCATCTGTAAGAAAGCTTTTTGTTGATTTCTTGAATATTTTATTGTGAAATAATAGTTGTTTTTCTTAATACATATTATAGAAGAATATATTTGATATAACACTTAACAGTTTGATGAACTTACTGCTCAACTTTATAGAAATAGAGTATTATCAATGCTAAGAATACTTCCTGTGTGTTCCTCATCAATCTCATGTCCCCGTTTATCTTCCAAGAGATACTTGCTGTCCTAAATATTTTTTACTCTTTTGCTTTTCCTTAAATTTTTACCACATTTGTTTTTCTGAGTAATGAATGATTAGTTTTGCTCAATGTTGAACTTAATATAAAAAATTAAATGCTGTTAAGATTTAAGTTATACTTCAATAATGAAAGAAAATCTTATTTCTCTTTATCTTAGCGGAGTTAGTTACAAAACTTTATGAGGCAGCTGTGAAGAAAGTTCCTAGTAGTGAGGAATATCACTCTCACCTCTTCATGGCCTATGCCAGAGTGGGCGAATACAAGAAAATGCAACAGGTAACTTGATCTCCAGACCTCTTGGGCTGCGGGATTTGCTATTAGGGATCAAAGTCTCTTTAATGTGATTTAACTGCAGTGATGTGTGTATCTGTAGAACTGAATTATGTATTTGTGTGTAGAGATCAGCCAATTATTTTCTTTGTGTTTTTTAAAAATAAGCTGTTGTTCAAGTTTTAAAAATGTTTCCTTTGGGGGAAATTTGGTTGTTCCTCTTTTGTGGCCTGATGGTATATGTTTTGTCTGGTTCTGGTAAGTTGGCTTCAACTTCCCCTGCAACAGATTGCTGTTACAGTTTCAGAAAATGGGCAGAAATCTCAGAGCAAAAAATGAACAGATCATAGAAAGATTAACTTTAAAGTTTACATCTAATTTGTAATTATTTATAGCCTGATGAGATTTTTAAGTCCACGGGGGTGGGGCGTGAGGGGAATCCCCATTGCTTGGGATACTTGTTCTTTTTTTTTTTTTTTTTTTTTTTTTTGGCCAGTTCGCACATTTTAGGTGTTCCTTGTATTCCTGTAAAGGAGCCTCATTGGTGCACGTTTGGACTAATGAGTGGGTAAAGCGGACATCTCCGAGAAATGAGACCTGCACTGATAAACCCATGCATAGAGAGTTATGATGTCAAGCTAGTACTTTTTTTATTTAATGAATTTACATGCCTTACTTTTTATTCCAAGCTAGTATTTTTTAAAAAAATGCCTTGTTTGTGGGTGTAATGTTTTCTGAAGGCAGAACTTTCTTACTTGTCTTTGTTTTATTCCAGCGGTTCTCAACCTGTGGGTCGCGACCCCTTGGGGGTCGAACAACCCTTTCACAGGGGTCACCTAAGACCATCGGAAAACACATATATAATTACATACTGTTTTTTGTGATTAATCACTATGCTTTAATTATGTTCAATTTGTAACAATGAAAATACATCCTGCATATCAGATATTTACATTACGATTCATAACAGTAGCAAAATTACAGTTATGAAGTAGCAACGAAAATAATTTTATGGTTGGGGGTCACCACAACATGAGGAACTGTATTAAAGGGTCGCGGCATTAGGAAGGTTGAGAACCACTTTTTATTCTTTAAGTATCAAGTTACAATAATCAGGGAGGGTGGAAGATACTATATTAATATAAATCCTTAAAATTAATTTTCTATGTGCTTACCTAAGTTTTTAAATATATATATATATTCTTTTTTTTCTTAATCCTCACCTGAGGACATGTTTTTATTGATTTTTGAGAGAGGAAGAAGGAAGGAGAGAGAGACACATCGATGTGAGAATGAAACATCGAATGGGTTGCTTCCCATACATGCCCGATGGGGAATCCAACCTGTAACCTAGGCATGTGCCTTGCCTGGAAATAAAACCCTAACCTGTTTGGTGTATGGGACAGTCCTCAACCAATTGAGTCACCTGGTTAGGCAGTTTTGTATCTTGATTTTTGGAGATATTGCTTCGATGTGGCTTAACAATTACAGTTCCTTTTTTAATTTTTAAAAAATTTCAGAGCCTAGGCAAATTATTTATTTATTTAAATTGATTGGAGAGAAAGATCAATTTGTTTTTCCACTTATTTATGCATTCATTGGTTAATTCTTGTATGTGCCCTGACTGGGGATCGAACATGCAACCTTGGCATATCAGGACTATGCTCTAACCATCTGAGCTACCTGCCCAGGTTAACAACTACAGTTCTTTAATATGTTTTTACCTATATCTTGCTTTTGCATTATTCTAGTTTCATGTATTGAAAGAATGGAGTTCTCTAGTGTTTAATGTTTTAGAATAGAAGGCTTAATTTTTATTCTACCTGTGTTGCTGTTTATGGTAGTTACAGTTTTTTAGCTTATATGTATGTTTATTTTGAAAGTGGTATGTCAGTCTAAGGTAATAGGTATTTTACAAATTAAATGTCATGCTTCATGCAGGTGAGGGCTTCTGTTTTGTTTATTGCTGAATCCTCAGCTCCTCGAAAGCATCTGCACAATAAATATTTGTTAAATAAATGAATGATTTTCATAAACTGGTGGAGGTAAGGGAGGAAGCCAGAGAATCAGAAAACTTCTACTTCCCCAGTGACATCTCTGGCAGGTACTATTTAAAATCCCCTTGAATGAAGAGTTTCTAGTCATTCACATTGTGATTAGACTTTCCTTTTTCTGTAAATGACATTTTGGTTCTCTGAGTCACGAGTTTACAGCCATGGTTTTCAGACTCGTCTATCTTCAAAAGTTTTGTGTATCAGCAGAATATTAGTGTCTGTAAGATAGGGTGTGGACATGACAATTTGTCTTTTATATTAAAAATTTATATTTTATATCCTATTTCTTTTTATTTTTGCGTGTCATTATAAAAGTGTTTTCTTTCCCCAAATTATCAAGTAAAATTAACACTTTACATTCCATTCCTACTGAGTTTGGTGTTGGAAGTACGGACCTCAAACCATCTTGAACTCTCCTTCTACTCTGTCTATCTGTTTTGTCTCAAGGTCATCTTCATTCTACCTCCACAGTGTCTTTGAGGTCTCTTTCCTATTTTATTTATTTCATCCTGGTTTAGTTCCTCATCACCTCATGTCTTCTGTCGTCCTATTTTCCTTTTTCACTGCTAAAATACTCTTCTGAGAAGAGTATAGCTATATACACATTAGTTCCTTACTCCTTCAGACTCCTTTTGAATGCCTTATAACAAAGGTACCTCAGTCTACCTTTTAGCCCTTTTCCCTACTACTCACTCTTCTTAATCCTTTGGTTTAGCCAAATGTCCTACTTGTTCTTGTCAGCATGTTTTTCTTTGATTAATGTTTTTATTCAGACTAATATTGTTCCTACCTAGAATTGATTCATTCATCCAAATATTTTCCCACATATTTGTATTTGTATATATTTCCTTACTTCCCATCTTTGCCTATAGACATTCTGTTTAAAACTTTAGGGTCCACCTGAAAGACTGCTACTTTGGAGAAGGCTTAATTGATAAAATTCCCTTCCCTACTTTTCCTTAAAGAAAGAAGAAAGGAATAAGGAAACTTAACCTTGCTTTTCTTAGAAACAACCTAGCATGGTGTTTTTGTATAGGATGTTTACTGCCAAATATATTTTAGTCATGTGTATTTGTCTTATCTTTCCCTAGCTTTTATTTTACTTTTTTATTAATTTGAGAGAGAAACATTGATTTGTTGTTCCACTTATTTATGATTCATTGGTTGATCTTTTTTTTTCTTAGGGAGAAACATTTGATTTGTTGTTCTGCTTGTTTATGTGTTCATTGCTTGTATGTGCCCTGACCAGGGATTGAACCAGCAACCTTGGCATATTGGGATGATGCTCTAGCCAACTGAGCTATCTGGCCAGGGCTTATATTTCCCTAGCTTTTAAGTGTCTTTGAGACTGGGACACAATCTTTGTTTCCTTGGCAGGAATAGGCATTTCCTTAATAGAAGCTCCATGAAATTTTTAAAGTGGATTGAAGATAGGCAAAAGATCAAAACAAAAAAGAAAGTAACTGTGATTATTAGGTGACTGAGTTCATAGCATTGATTACTACTTGGCTAATTATGGATAGATCTTCTGTTACATATTAATAGATCTATTTTGCTCTTTTTAAAAAAATATATATTTTGATTTCAGAGAGGAAGGGAGAGGGAGAGAGAGATAGAAACATCAATGATCAGAGAGAATCATTGATTGGCTGCCTCCTGCATGCCCCCTACTGGGGATTGAGCCAGCAACCCAGGCGTGTGCCCCATTCGGGAATCTCCTGGTTCATAGATCAATGCTTAAGCACTGAGCCACACCGGCCAGGTGCTCTTTCTTTTTATGCCCCTGCTTTTAAATACAGTATTTGTATACTGTATATTTCACAATGAAAGGGTTCAGTTCTAATTAATGGTGTCTTCAAAGAACCTGATTATTTTCCTGACCTAAGAAATTTTTCAATTATGTCAGTAATTTTTTCTAATTTTAAGTTTTAAATATACTGTCTAGATTTCTTTGTTTTACTATAACTGGTTAGTATCTTTTCATCAGTAAAGTTTGTTTACTTATGTACATTCATAACCCAAATTTTGTGTTTGCTTTGGTATTCTATTTGGACTATGTTGTATTGCAGTATTTTCTAGAAATACTGGGTTTTATTTTACTTTATTTATTTTCTAAATATATTTTTATTGATTTCAGAGAGGAAGGGAGAAGAGAGAGAGATAGAAGCATCAATGATGAGAGAGTGTCATCGATCAGCTCCCTCCTGCACGCCCCCTACTGGGGATTGAGCCCGCAACCCGAGCATGTGCCCCTGACTGGAATCAAACCCGGGACCTTCCAGTCCACAGTCCCAACGCTCTATCCACTGAGCTAAACCAGCTAGTGCTGGAAATACTGGGTTTTAATTTGAGAAAATATGTTTCAAAGGTGAAATATTCTGATGTAAAAGTTCACACTTGTGATTACCTATATTGCTAGCCAAAATATAATATCCATCAAGTCACAGCACTTATAGGAACTGGGATATGTAAACGTGTTGTTATTCTCCTAGATATCTTGCCACATATCTAGATCATTAACTGCCCTCTGTATGATCTTTTCTAAATTAAATATTTATGGCTCTCTGTCTTTCAGGCTGGCATGACTCTATATAAGATTGTCCCCAAAAACCCTTACTACTTTTGGTCTGTGATGAGCTTAATTATGCAAGTGAGTATGGCATTCACAATGGGATTGAGATTTGTTTTTATATTTGTATATAGTTACTGTCCTTAAGGTATCCTGTGAACGTCTTGGGTAGTCATGTGTTGTAGCATGTCTCAAACAGGGGCTTTCCATATTGTCAGTTGACTTTTTGAGTTGGGGAGTTTTGGTATTCTTTATGAGTTGGTATATTGGTTTATTTGTGTGTAGCACAGACTGTATTTCCCCTGAATCTTAGATTCATTACTGGGTTATTTGATCAAGTATGTACCCTGAGATGTTAGATATTTTGACCTGACGTTTGTCTTTAAGACAATATTGTTGGTTAGTGCATAGGTTATTGAACTGGGTGACCTTGTTTTATCACTTTTGCTTTCTGAGCCTTGGTTTGCTCTTTTACAGAATGGAGATGCTTATCTCCCAGAGCTACTGTAAGGACTGAAATGAGATATGTTGTAGGAGAGGATGGGGAGGTAGGAGTTAAAATGTAGCAGTTAAGAACAGAGAGCCTCTGGGTTTAGCCAAGTCTGCGTTCAAATACTGGCTTCACCTCATGTCTTGGAGTGCAGTGGGGAATCTCATCATTTTATCTATAAAATAAGCATAATAGCTACCCTGAAAGGTTGTTTACAGGGGATAAATGAACTCTGAGCAGAATCTGGCAGTGTTAAAATTATTAATATCATTCATTGATTTTAATTACCAATCTAAGGTAATTGTAGCTAATAGTAAGCTGTATAAACAATTGGCATTTCTCTTCCAAAGTATGAACATCTCAAAACATCTGAAAGGCTTTTCAAACACTTGGTGATACTCTTTGTATATAATAAACAGTATAGGCATACTCCCTCTTAACATATTTCTAGAAAAATGTTTGAATAATCTATTTAAAAGTTAGGTCATGTGGAAACTCAGCATTTCAAGATTGCATAGGATAATGAATTTTTAATAAAGAAATCTCTTGTAAAGCAAACCACTCTAGTGTATCTTTTTGGCAGGTTCAAATTAGGCCTAATATTTGACATAGTATAATGATAATTATGTGCTGGAGTCATAGTAATGGTCTGCATGGTAATATAAATAGTGCAGGCAGGGAGAAATTAGAATGAAACATTTATTATTTTCTCTTCTAGTCTATATCAGCACAGGATGAAAACCTCTCAAAAACAATGTTTCTGCCCCTTGCTGAGAGAATGGTAGAAAAAATGGTGAAAGAGGACAAGATAGAAGCTGAGGCTGAAGTGAGTAATTTAAGCCCTACTTTTGAATTTGTATGATTTTGATATTGTTACAATAAATATTATAATATTAAGAACTGTTGTTTTATTCTAGTTAAGAGAGCTGGGTCTTCACTCTTGCCCTTTGTGTAAATGTGAAGCTTTGGAAACCCCAGCTTAGACAATGAACATGGAGCTGTTTCAGCAAGTACTCTAGTCTGAGATGTATATAGATAGGGAAGACTCTGTTGTCTGATTCTTACTGTTAATTTCATCTCATTTGAGAATAGTGTCCTTTTCTATTAGATAACTTTTTAAAAACATACAAATGACTATTTTTTCTTTTTTAATTACAGTTGAGATTCAATATCTTATATTAGTTGCAGGTGTACAGCATAGTGGTTAGATGTTTATGTAATTTATGACGTTATTCCTCCTCCCCCCTGATAAGTCTAATATCCATCTGGCACAATACATAGTTATTACAGTATTATTGACTGTATTCCCTGTGCTGTACTTTACATCTCCATGACTGTCTTTTTATTATTGAAAAGTTTCAGTGGTTGCACTTGTTTGTTTTTCTGTAAGGTTGAACTTTATTATATGATCCTGGAGCGTTTGGGAAAGTACCAGGAAGCCTTAGATGTCATCAGAGGAAAATTAGGAGGTAATTTTGAAAGTTTTAAAGTATTTTTTCCTGCTTAAACATGAAAAATGTTTATTGTGGAAAATTTCTTTCTCATAGAGAAACAGAAAGATATAAAGACATAAAAAAGTCACTTATGATCATTTTATGTTCTTTCAGACTTTTCTGTGTCGTACATTTATTTATTTTTAAAGTATATTTTTAATTGAATTTATTAGGGTGACATTGGTTAATAAAATATTTAGATTTCAGGTGTACAGTTCTGTAATACATCATCTCTATTTTGTATTGTGTGTTCACTACCCCACCCAGGTCAAGTCTCCTTCCATCTCCATTTATCCCCCTTTTATCCTTTTCTACCTTCCCCCACCGCCCTTTCTCTCTGGTAATCACCATATTGTTGTCTGTGTCTGTGAGTGTTTTTTGTTTATTTGTTTTAAAAAAACGATGTGAGAGAGAAACACTTTGACTGGGGAATGAATCGGCAATCCAGGTATGTGCCCTGGCCAGGAATTGAATCTTTTCATTTACAGGACAATGCTCCAACCTACTGAGCCACCTGTCCAGGGAGTGACAAAGATTTTTGCTTCCTAACTATTTAAACATGTGTGATGATTTCGTTAGGAGAAATTCTTGGAAATGCAGTTATTGCCTCAGTAAACCTGGTTGGTTTTTTTGTTTGTTTGTTTTAAAATATATTTTTATTGATTTCAGAGAGGGAGGGAGACACCCACTATTGGGGATCGAGCCTGTAATCTGGGCATGCGCCCTGACTGGGAATCGAACCCTGGCCAGGTTCATAGGTCGACGCACAACCACTGAGCCACACTGGCAGGGCTAAACCTGATTTTTTAATTGTGCTTTTACAGTCTTTGGGACTAACTAAATTATAGATGAATAGCTTCAGTTCTCTCATTGGGTAGTCATTAAAAAACTTTGTTTCATACAAATATGTAATATATATCTTTTATTAGAGTGCAGTCATAGAACTGTTACACTAAATGATACTTAACTAGTTATATAAAACTAGAGTCCTGGTGCACGAATTCGTGCATGGGTGGGGTCTGGCCAGCCTGCCCCGATGGGGGCCCATTGGACTGGGCCAGTGGGGGTGAGGGGCTGTGGGCGGTTGCAGGGGGCTGATTGCTACCACAGTGTGCATCATAGCCACTGGTTGTTCTGGTCGTTCCGCCGTTCAGGTCGCTGGGCTTTTATATATATAGACTAGAG